TCAAAAATATGTATTGTAAAATATAAACATAAACAATAAATAAAGCTACAAGGAGTCCTAATTATATTTGATATTTTATATTGATTTTATAGGCAATGTTTACATAAAAACCTTAAGACATCTCAAATTTAATTACCAAAAATAATTTAACGTAAATTTTAAAGTTCCAATTCGTTAAATCCAATTTGAATGCGCACGTGCAATTTGGCAATTAGCAACACTTGTGAGTACTGCCAACTTACTTTTAACAGTCGCCACACAACACTTGACTGTGGCGATACACGATAACGATAAACGCAAATGCGCACGCTCACTTTGCAACACTACTTACCCGACTCTCCCACCTCTGAGGCAACCAAATCCCAGCAATTCTCTGATGGTAGTCTTTTTCTATAATGTTCATGACTTTGATCATATAGAATCGGTTGATTCTCTATTGCGCGGCACAGTTTTGCATTTGATTTAAATGCAGACATGGCTTAACAACTAAACACACACACCAGCGAGCACTTTGAGTTGATTTTATATTTATTTTACTTCAATTCAAAACTGGCGAGAAACTTGTCCGACAGCAACACGCGTCGTACGTAGAGCGAACTGACACAGCTGCGAAAATGACACACATACACACACACACACACATTCGTGTACATGCCGTCAGAGAGCGCGAGAGTGCCCAGAGAGACGAATGCGTTGGTGTTTGTGAATGTGATGCAAACTAAATTGGCAGGCCAAACTAGAGGGTTGCATTATTGTTGTCGCCGCCGATTTCTTTCGATAGCAATTCCTATCTACAGCAGAGCTTTATTTGAAGCTCGTTTTACATATCTGCGGCTATCATATGCAATTTATATATGCTATAATCTTAATTATATACATTGAGTTGGTAATTGACACAAAAGTATTGCAGCAGATAGAAATAAAGCAAATATTGCTGAATATTGTTAGTCTGTAAAATTACAGGGTGTCATTGAACAAAACAATTTTTACAGTATATGCAACCGATCAAACATCATTGCCAGCCGGTATTATTATTAACCGACTCGCTGTAGCAGCTGCTTTGTAGCTGGCAATGCTTCTACTCTCGCTCACTCTCTCTCTCTCTCTCTCTCTGAGAGTAGCTGTTAATGTGTGCGTGACCAGTAGCGTCGTGTTATTTGCTTATATTTCGAGGGTTGTTCGGTACAAAATGTAGCAGGCCCCTTCTCGTTGTTATTTATACTGTCGACGCCCATGTATCAATTGAGTTGTTTTTTTGCCGGCAAACAAGCTGTTTACGACAATAACAATACGTGCATATGTACATACATATGTATGTATATGATTCATTTTAGATGCTGGTTGACTTAGTTCAGTTAGCGTTTAGCAGTCTAAAAGATATGAATTTAATAATTTATATACTCAACAAGTTATGGTTGAGCGTTGTAAAAATAATAACACATTGACGTTGGATTTTCTGTCGCATTTTCAATATTCTTATCAACGCCTTACAGCAACACCGTCAGTAAGTTGGTGAGCGAGAGAGAGAGCGCGAGAGTAACCGTTAACCCAAATTGCAATAGTGTGCGAGCACGAAACTCAACAACAGCAATTTCACTGCGGCAGCAACAGCAGCGACGACAACAGCAACAGCAGAAGCAGCAGCAGCAGTAGCAGCAGCAGCAACAAAAGGCTACCAAAAGCGACTGCAAATCTTTGCAAAACCAGTGGAAAAAGCAATAAACGGATATAACAAATTGCAGGTAGGTAAGTGTAGCTCAAGCTAACACAAGCGCAGGCAAATTTCAATAAATGTAATTATTGCTGGCATCCCACAGAAAACGCGCCAAACAGCTGTTGCGCCCTGCAGGCAACAGAAATGTCCGAAGCATTTTCCGTGTGGACGTGCAGCAACTAGAATTCGTTTCTCTTGTCACCTGTGCGCAATGGTTTGTTTTGGCATGCGTGTGTAAATTGTGTCTGTGTGTTTGTGCAGAGAGAGAGAGCGTAAGCGTCGCTGACAGTTTCTGTGGAAACGGACGCAACCAAGTTGCAGTTTTGCTTGGGACTGTGTTGCTGCGCAGTTGACGACTCGAATAATTTGTTGTTTTTGCTATTTTATAGTAAACGAGGCAACATCAGCAGCAGCAGCAACATCAACAACAGCAGCAACAACAAAAACAACAACAACAACAATGAACACACGACGCAGCACCGGCAGCATCAAGACCAGCAAAGGAAGTATAAGCCGCTTGTATGTGGCGGCACTGACCACAAAGACGATAACACCGGAGCTGCACGCAATAAACGCGAAGATCTGCCGTTTGGTGGAGCAGCATCCCTGCATGTACGATCGCTCGCATCCGGCGTACATGCGCAAATCTCACGTGGAGCAGGCCTGGGAGGACATTTCGAAGGAGATGAATGATAGCGGTAAGTGCCGCGCATCACAGCAACATGCTCTATAGATTTCGCATAAATCGAATTCCACAATTCTACAGTTGATAATTGCAAGGAACGCTTTAGGAATATCCGCACCAGCTTTGCGCGATCCATCAACGTTCAGCGCGTCTCGAATCGCGTCAAGCCCTACTATCTCAGCGAGGAACTTGAGTTTCTTAAAAAGCACATCACGCCCGGCGTGCCTGTGCCAGTGAAGGGCAGACGGTCACGTGACAGCAACAATCGCAGGTGCGATGATAACGACGAGTATGATGACAACGAGCACGATTATGAGGAGCATGTGGGCGCGCTGGTCCATATAAAACACTCGCTGAGCAGCGACGAGCACGAAAATGAGAACAGCACCGATAGCTCTGAGTGGGTGGCTGAGGAGCATGCGCAGAGTGTCGCCAGCCAAACGCAGCATAAACCCGAGTCTGAGTTGCACCCACTGAGCGATGAGGACGACCAGAAGCCGAAGGATTTGGTGCAGCCGACTGCCGTGCCCCAAACCTGCCCCTTTCCGCCCAAGAAACGGCGACGCACGGTCACCGAGGCATCCAAACCGAGCGAAGTAAGCATGTGAATAAATTATCCACGTTCTTACTCTACTACAGTTGCCACCACCTCACCCTCTGTCGCCCACAGCCAGCCGAAGTCAGCGCAGACACAGAAGATACGCCCGCCGATATAAAGCCACCCGTCATGGACTTTGATGATGCCTTTCTGCAGGGCCTGCGTCCCGAAATGAAGCACATGAACTTCCATCAGAAACTCTTCTTTAAGCGACGCGTTTACGAGCTGCTCAGCGATATATTTGAGGGCGGCGAGAATGCCAGTAGTCAACCACGTACCAATGGACAGGCTGGAGCTACCAACTCGCCGTTACCTCTGCAGCATTTGGGGCTTTTGGGCTGCTCGGGGACGCTGCAGCTGCCCAAGCTAGCGCCGAAACCCTCCAAAGATCTCTAAGTAGAAATAACATTGAATCGACTAATGCCCAAAGACGGCCGCAGCAGCAAACGGAGCTGTGTAATCCATTCGAATTTACGCTGTACAGTAATTTCACATACCCATTATTTTTTGGGTATAGTTATAGTTATAAGACGTTACTATTTTTAAAATGTAATACATTAAATACATATTTACGTAAACGATTGTATAATTTTAAATAAGTTTAAATCAGGATACAAATAAATTGTGAGACTTTTATTGCAACAGTTCTATTGATTCTAAGTCCTTTTTTGTTTTCTATACCCTAGAACATTGCGGATGGGTAGCAAGGGCCGATTTGATGTTCGTCTGATATTCTCTATTGCAACTAGTCCCTCGGCTTTAGAGCAAACTAGGTATAGACTCGAATCGTTTCGGAGAGTATGGATTGATATGAATCGGACCACTGTATTTCAGTAACTATTCGTGTTCAACATCTTTTTGTTTGTTGCTTAAAGTTTTTTTTTTTTTTAAGCAAGTACGAGCTTTGTTATGCTTAGACTGCCAACTATAATGATAGCTACTATATGTATATCAGCTGCCGTAGCAACAATCGGACAATAATTAAATAGTTATTTCTTGAATTCTTTTAATGGCGATTAAGCACAAAACGTGCGCTTAACTATTTAGTAGCTGACTAAAACTTGCTTGAATATAAATATTTGAATAATTCTCAAACATTTGGTTGCACATTCTGCAATATTTTCTTTCGTGAATTGAGCATATTTATAATTTAAAGAGCGGTTGTGGAAAATAAACTTTTTTGGCGAATCTTAAAGGGAATTTATTAGCAGTTCTTTTCCAAAGACTACATTAGCTCTTTAAAAGTGGGAAACATTTGCTTTTGCGATGTTTCCAATTAATTGTGGCAATAGGCCAAAAGTTCCTAACACTCTTTTCGACACGGATGTAGAGACGGATGTAGACAATTATTCCAAGCTACAAGTCTTGCTTCTGGAGGGTCAAAAATAAGTACATAAACACGGACGGAAGCAGGGACAGTGCAGAGAAGCAATATTCTCCCTTACAAAGATAAAAGAGTATAATTGTTTTGTCTACCGACTACACCGACCGAGCATCTAGAAGTTGTGATTAGGAAAGAGCTGCAGCTACATGTATATATATTCCAAGGCAAGTCTCAAAAATCGACGTATATATTGACAGTCGGACGGACAATATAGAAACAGATATACTCTTGTTCACTTTGTGCACAGAGTACAACAGCTGCAGCTCTTAAGCTTTCCAATCGGAAGTCAACAAATTAAGTTAACGTATAAAAATGGTTGCATACTTTTAGGATGCAAACGAAATCGAAAATTTAGTTTTAGATTTTGTAACAATTTCTTTTGAGGCAAGCTGATTTTAAATTGATTTAATTAGATTTAACGGGCAACGTTTAACTGTAATTTAAGGCCATAGTTAAAAGTCAAGTGGGAACATTGTATAATTTGCATAATATGTTATATTTTATATATATATATATATATTTTTTTTTAGCAAATACTTTTGTAAATGTAAACATTGATTTTATAGTTGTTTAAATAATAAAATAATTATTTATATATCGTTCCCGCATAAATTATGGCATAAAATATATAAAATATTATTGTTATAATTTGATTGTGTATTTTTTTTACTTTTATTTTTTGTGTGGTGTGCTATCAGAAATCGTGTGTATACCAATATAATGTATAAGAAAATACCACTGTTACAAAAATTTCCATTTCGTTGCATCGATTTCAAGATTTAAATACGTAAATTAGTTAAGATAGTTATGTACATTCATCGATATATAACGTATATGTTTGTATATATATAATAATAATAATAATAATAATGATAATAATAATAATAATAATAATAATAAATGGGCGGTGGTAAATGCAACACCCCACGCAAATTAGAAAATTTATATCAATTGCACTTTAAATTATTTAAATATATATGATTACGATTACCTGTATATAGATCGTTCTCTAAATGCAGAAACAAAACGTCGCAACTTGTTTTTTGTGTATATCTTTTTGCTTATATCTAAGAAATTGTGGCGCGTTCTATATCATTATTTATCTTATTAGCTTATCAACTTTAGGCCAATGATATTTTGACCGGACCCAGCGGCAGCTGTTTCATATAGTTCCAGGCATCGACACGGGTCATTCGCGCCGTGGATGCACCATTGATGCTGAGGATCTCATCGCCATTGCGCACCTGATTGGTCTTCTGGGCAGCACCACCTGGGAGAGAGAGGGAGACAGAGAGAGAGAGAAACGGAGTTAAGGAAGGAGCCACCAGGCAAATGGCAGTTAACTAACCCATGAAAACCTTCTTGACGATCAGCGGGCGATTGCCCAGCGGCGAGTCAAAGCCACCCTCTATGGAGAAGCCCAGTCCACAGCTGTCTTTGACAATTTCTACGCAGCGTGCGCCGCCGCCGGCAGCAGCATCCTCAGCTGCAACAGGAAACGGAAATTAGTTATAACTAAATATTCGACTTGCTGTGGCGCTGTGGACTTACCCTGCGCGCGAATCTCAGCTGCTATGGCATGCCGAGCCTCGGCTGCGCGCTCTAGCAGCTCACTGGTGCTCAGCTTGGCGGCATCGCCGCGTGAGAGCTGGCGGCGTGCTCGAATGGTGGCAATGGTGGCCTCCGCATCGTTACCGTTCGCCTCGTCCAGCAAGCTGGCCGGCTGCTGGGGGCTGCTGGTGCCCGTGCTGGGTGTGCTCGGTGTGCTTGGCACTGTGGCGCTGCCGCCGCCCTCATTGGACACAATATCCAGATCCAGATCGAGCGAGCGTGAGGCCTTGTGGTAGTTGCGTTTGCGTTCGTAATCCAACTCGGTGGGCTTCTCATTCAGCGAACTGAGCGAGCCCAGCGAGGAGCGTTTCTTGTTCAGCGGTTTGATGACCAACGATTCGGAGCGAGTCACCACTAGGACAACCTCTGGTCGTGGTGTCTATCAAGAGAGAGGAAGGGAATATTGATTAGAATAATCTAAGGAATAGTGTTATATACAGGGAAACTCACCTTTAGTACGCTGATCGACTCGCGATGGGTCAGGCCGCGCATGCTCATGCCATTGACGGCCAGAATGCGATCGCCCTTCTTAAGTCGTCCGTCCTTGGCAGCCGGAGTGTTGCTTAGTATCTTGTGGATCTATGGATAAGGACATAATTAAGAGCTGTTACATGCGATATATATTTAGGACATACGGTTATCTCCTTAGCCTCGTAGTCGGAGCCACCGGCCAGGGTGATGCCAATGCTGCTCTCCGGCGTATCCCGCTGCAGCACTATGATAAAGGCCTCGGGCGTCTTAAGCGGCGGATCGGCCTCCTCGACAATCTGTTGCACGTCTTGTGCGGTAATCAAACTCTGATTGCTGCCCAGCGATGAGAAGCTGCCAAACTCGGTGGCCGTCTCCTGTGTGGTGCTCACATTCTGTGTTGTGGAGCTAACACCCGACGAGCTGGAGGCCAGCGAGTCCAGCGAACTGAAGCGCTCGTGATGCGGCTTTGTGGCAACAACTGTGGCAAGCGCCTTGTGCATGGGCAGCGGAACTTGAGGCGCGGCAGCTGCTGCTGCACTGCGCTCAAATTTCTCGCGCAGCTCGGCTGTGGTCTGCGACTTGGTGGTGCCCAGTGTCAGCTCCCGCTTTGGTGTCTGTGTGCGCTGTGGCATCGGGCTGATCACGGGCTTGGCTTGCACCACACGCAGCTTGGCCTGCTGCGTGGGATCTGCCTTGAAGCTAGCCTTGCGCTCCTCATCGATGAACATGGCACTGATCTTGGCCGGCGTATCCGAGCGCCGGCTGCTGTCGTCCGTATCAGAAGTGAGCTCCACATAGGCAGCTACATTTATCAGCTTGTCCACCACCAGCTGCTTGGCCAGCAGATGATGCTGCTGTTGCTGCTGCTGCTGTTGTTGCTGCTGCTGCTTGTAGGTGGACTTGAGGCGACGTCCGTTCAAGACGCAGGCCTCGCCATCGGTGCTGTCGTTGTCATTGTCGTTGCTGTTGTCCTGGCCGCGGCTCTTGGCGCTGCGGCACTTGGCCGACGCCAGGATGCTCTTGCGATTGCTCAAAGCCAGCTCGGTGCTGTTGCTACTGACGCTACCATTTAGCTGGCACTTGAGCACGCGTCGCGTTAGGTCCACTGTGGCCGTGCTGCCCAGGGAGCTGCAGCTGGCCTGGGAGCCGGCCGAGGAGCCCGAAGTCAGCGTGGAGGTGTTTGAGCTGGCTATCGAAGTGTTTGTCTCCGAGCTGAGCGTGCGCGTCAGCGCAAACTTCTCTGGCGGCGTGGGAACACGCGCTGTGCTCGAGAACACGGAATCTGTGTCGCTCTCCTGGTCCACCAAAAACGGTTGCTGCTGCTGCGGCTGTTGCTGGCAAAGATTAATCCTGCTGGGCATGCTTAGGGCGCTGGCAAGCGAAGTGCGTGGCGGCTTTGCGGGTGGTTGCGACAGCTGCGACTCCAGCGGACGACGCTGAACAGCCGCAAAGATGCTGCGATAGGTGCTCATGTTGTTGTTGTTGGTGTTGTTGTTGCTGCTGCTGCTGCTGTTGTTGTTGATGTTGTGTCTGAGTGGGCGTGTCTCGCCCAGGCCACTGTCCGTGGAGTCCTCACCGCTGGCCGCCTTCACCTGGCTCTTGATCTCGGGCAAATCCAGTATGGGCTCCAGCAGCTGCGGCCGCTCCGGTATGACTAGGCCGCGCAGCTTGGAGAGACTGCGACGCCGCTGCTCCAGTATATTGGTGATGGCCGCCTTGCGCGTGGCCGCATCGCCCTCACCCGAGAAGCTGATGCGGCGCTCCACAGCGGAGGCAACTCCTCCATGGCTGCGTCGCGGCAGCGAGGCGTAATTGTAGCTGTAGCTATTGCTGCTGCTGCTGCCGCTGCTGCCGCTGTTGGGCGTGGTCAGTGTGTGCAGCGAGTACATGGAATCGGCCACGTGCAGCTGCGGCAGCTGCTTGGCCAGCTGGTATTGTCGCTGTGCATCGTTTAGGTTCTCCACGCTCATGGCGCGCGTCTTCAGAGACGGCGGTGGCGTCGAGGAGGCGGCCTCCAACAAATTCTCGCTGCTCATGTTGAGCGGCTTGCGGGAGAAGGTGGAGGTAGCGTTGGAGAGGTTGGCGCTGGAGCTGGGTGTGGGCGGCGCAATGGTGTCCAGTTCGTTGCTGGATGAGAACATGGCAATTTTGTCGCGTACGGATTTCTCCGACTTTTCGTCTTTGCGCCAATCGCTGGACTTGCGTGGCGCACTCGCGCTCAAGGAACGTTGGTAATCACGTACGCCGCCGCTAGATGGCGTTGCTGCCAATTTTGTTGGCGTCTCTGTGGCGCGTGCAGCTTGACGCGCATCCTCCACATTGATGACCAAGTCCTGGCGATACATCTTGCGCGGCACTGTGGGCGGTGGCCCCGTTTTGGGCAGTGGCGGTGCAGCCTCCAGTTTGTTGTTGCTGTCGTTGTTGTTGTTGTTATTGTGCTCAAAGCTTAGCTCCGCTTTGAGGCGCGTGGCATGCGATTGGGGATGCATAATCAGCGGCTCACTGAAGTTGGGCGGAAACTCATGGCCATCGGGCGGTAGACGCGAATAGGTCGGTGGGGAGGCGTAGCTCAGGTAATCCTGCGCCAGCAGCTGCTTTGTAGTCGTTGCTGTTGTTGTTGCTGTTGTTGTTATTGCTGGGCTGCTCAGCAGCTCCATTTTGTTGTTGTTGTGCTTCTGCTGCAAACTCTGGCTAAGAGTCGGGGTCGAAGTGGAACTCGGGGTCGAAGTCGGAGTCGAATTCAAAGACTTTGTCGTTGTTGCCGTTGCCGTTGCTGTGGCCACCAGGGTCTTCTTGCTGCTGATTCCAGTTGCTGTTGTTGCTATTGTTGCTGTTGTGCTGTTAACTGTGCTGATAATGTTGTTGCTGTTGCTGTTGTGGTTGTTAAGGGTACCAAGATCTGTAAAAGGCAACGGCAGAGAGTGGGGAAAAGGTATTGGTTAGCAAAGTACACGAGGAGCAAACATATGGAGATAACAAATATAATGTGTAAGGGATGGGGAGGGGGGCTATGGCTGATCATAAGGGAAATACATTTATCGATAATTTGGTATGGATTTTAATATTAAACTATTTATTCATATTTTCACTCAGGATGAATTAAAGATCAGAAAATATGCAACTTAAATGAATTCATTTCAATTCGATTTAATAATAGGTGCATTTATCGATAAACAGATACGTAGATATATCGATTTGTAATCGATTACATTTGATATGCAGAAAACTATAAGTGTTTCTCAAAAGTTAATTGTTTCTTTTAACTATATGACGCCGAAAGGAATTGGTTTTATTTATAAACAGGAATATAACACAAATTGGAAAGGTTTGAACACCATCAGGATGGTATTTCACAAGGTATTGTCTTTACAGGTAAACAGAGTTCGAGTAGTAAGCTGTGAATATAGATTTGTGCAAAAGAATAAAAGAAATAGTTCAAAAAACAATCTCCAAAGGCAGCTAGCTTCTGCAAGACTATAATTATGCATAAGAAAAAAAAGCGAACAAAGCCGAAAACTTTCGCCCAAAATAAAAGCGAAACAGTTGTCATTATGCGCTAACCCAGAGTTAAGGCGAATCTTACGTCTAACCCAACTATTTTCGGCGTGGAGCAATTAAAAACCACAAGAGCAGCAGCTGAAAATTGTTGTGGTTGACAAAACGTCTCTGACAACAATTGTAATATTCGTAATAATAATAAGTAGTTATAATAATGTCAGAGATACCAGATATATTCAGATAGACAAATTATAGACAACAAAGGTTTTCAATTCGGCAGCTAAAAGCGAAAGTTTCTCGCCAATCAAGAAGAATAGAAAAAGTTGTTTACCAAAGCCCTCAAGTATTTGGCCAACAGCAGGTTGGCAGTGCAGGTTGACAGATTTTTGCGGTCGCCTTGCATATTGGGGTCATTCGTTCGGGGGAGTTGAGCCCAGGCCAGAAACCTTAATTAATTGCGAGACTGAAATGTTTATCTAACGATATTCGGGCTGCAAATCAAGTTTCTAACGAGCGTTTAAATTTATTCAGCAATTTCTCTGTGTTTGGCATGAAATTGAATTAAGAAATTCGATTTCGTCAAATAGAAAACCGCCCACATATCAACATCTTCAAAGAAATGCTGCGTGCATGTAAAATTTGCATTTTTAATTAAAGCAAAACAAGAAGCGAGAATAAACTAAATGCGAGGCTACCTTTTATTTAAATGAAAACCGCTGCGTGGTTCTATTTATTTTTTTGTATGTTGAAAATTATTTAATTTTTCTGTTTTTTTGCTGGGAGCTGTAAGTTCTGTTCTTTCTGCAGTGTTAATGAACTCTCGCATTTGTAAACGTCGCACAAGCCACGGCGCGCCGTTGTTTAATCCAAAGTGAGGCTAAAAAAACCATGTACACATTATATTTAAGCCGCATATGCAAAAATTAAAGTACAAAAAAATGTGGTTAAGAGAAAGAAGCTTGTGATTGTTTAATGTAATGCAGAGCCAAAGGGCTCAAGGGCGTCACTCGATGGCCGGAAAAGACCTAGAAGTGTTTGCCCGTGTTTAAAACGTGTATTTTTACAGATTTCAGTCTCGGCAGAGACCTTAAGAAAAGCACAACTTTCGTCAGCATTTTATTAATCAGTCGGCGCCGATCGATAAGTGAAGCCAAAATAAACATTCGGTCATCGAGAGTGGGGCATGCCTCATATATATATTAACAAACCTATAACATAAGCCTATCTCCCTCTCGTTGAGGTGAGTCAGCAGCGGCTGACAAAAAGTCTATTGATTGAACTACGTCATGCGTCCAGTTAGTCATATGATTAAAGCGTATACTTTTGGTCATGTCATAGGTTTTTATGACACAGCGGTAGCAGCACACTGGCAGAACGGCCCATGAGAATCGCATAGGGCGGCAGAACATTTCCCAGCAATTAGGCACAGCGGCAGCTAATTAGCTTTTATTATGGCCACATAATATTTAATAATAATTGTGATTATTAATCCAAAAAGCCCTTTGGGCGCCATTCAATACGATTAACAATTTTAATTCCACGCTTAATTAATCAAATTAGCCGCAGATAGAGTATTCTCTGAGCCTGAACTCTCAACCCCGAACGAACTTTTAAACTCTGTCGGCTAGTCGTGGGCCTACGACAGGCCGCAACAATTAATCTTCAACTCTCAAGTGTAACATGAGGCGCCCCTCTTAGTTAGTGTTTAGATATTTGGCAGCTTGTTTGGCTTTTTGTTTGGCCGAAACCGCGCTTTATTATGCATATCGTGTTGTCCATTGATTCTTATCTAATGGATGTTTAATGTAGGCGCAAAAACTCGACTTGGCGGCTCGCTTCGCTGGCTCGGCTGGTTCGGGACACCTGCCACAATTTTATAATTTGTAATCTGTTCAGATTGCGTTTCCCTGGCATTCTGGCAATTAAATAACACCGTTCTACCGCGGTGCTGAAGTTCATTTCTGCACAGCTTCAGTTTACATACATATACATATATCTTTTTATTTTCCACATTTGGAAACCCGCTGCGAGCTCTGGCCAAATTTAATTGTAATCTTCAGGGGCTCCAGCGAGCGATCGATGTGTGAAAGGTTAAGAGTTGCCAGGTTGAATGGTCAATAGGATTGAACTGGCATCAAGTTAAAGAGCTGAAGTATTGGCCAGAGCAAAGCATGCGTAAGTAGTTATTTTTGTACTACATACTAGTATGTACATACATATGTATAAAGTGACCGGCGACTGGCACTACAATCAACTGGAAATAATATAATTCTTGGTACTCCATATATCAAAACGATTCTTCAAAGCTTGGAGCGAGGCATTTCCGTGCTGTCGCCGGCCGAGTCGCTTTCGAGTACATGCCGAAGTGTCGTCTTTAATTAGAAGCGAGTGAAACAAAAGCGACCGCCGGGTTGGGAATCTCAATGCCAAGAACGCTGCGCTACGCTTTAAAGTTCTTTGGAACTGACTCGCATAACTCGAAGCTTGCTCTAATAACTTCCGCTGTTATCAACATGCGACGATTGCATAAGACTTTGCACCGCAGCGCCACCTACCGCTGATAATTATAAATTGCATAGCATAGCTGTTCCCACAGTTTCACACAGCTCGTAGAGAGTTCTATGCCATGTGCTCCCTTCTGTTTAGCCATAAAAATCCTGTAACAAATTGCGCGCATTTAGCGCACAAAATGCCACTTACCATGCGCCCCTCTCGGCGATTCTCAACGTGGGAATCGCTGGGAAAATCGGCTTGCGTGCTGCTTACCGTACGTAAATAATTGAAATTAATATTTTATTTTTCTTTTTTTTTTTGCTCGTTTTCAGCGATTTCTTTAAAACATTTTATCGCTCGCATTTTATTTGTCGGTCTTCCTTTGACGTCGAGAGACGCGAAAAAACAAAAGAAACAGAAAATAAAATGGCTTAAAAAATGCGTAGATTGGTAGCCCGCACATTTTTCAACATGGCTAGCATTCTGCGCTGATTCTTCGTGGTTTCTGATGTTTTTCATCATCGCCCGCTCGCGAGCCCCTGATCTTTGCAATTGTTCGGGTTCGAGCTATGGCGAACGTAGCATATTTCATTTTAATTATTTTATTAAGGCCTCAGCCACAATGTGCAATTATTTAAAGTGTTCAATGCGTCGTTTGATGGATAGATGGGAGTATGGGAGCTTGGGAGCTGGCAGCTTGGGCGCTTGGCATCAACAGCCTGGGGCAGCCTTTTGATATCTCTCAACACCAGCAACACGCAAGCGAAGACAACTTGTCGGAATATAATTTAATGCATATTAATAAGCTCAAACTACATAGCTGAATGCATTTTCCGCTTGATTAGTGTTAAGAGCGAAGCACCATAACAAATTCTAGCCGATAATTGCTACGCATTATGCCAAAAACGAACGACTTTACCTGTGTGTGCTTTTCTCGTATGATTATATTGCCATAAGACAAGAAACAACGGCGTGGCTATAACTCAACATAAGCCAAACAGCTGCTACAGAAACAGACGCTTCTTTATGCGAAAATATACAAAAGCTTAAGACAGTAGTCGTTATATAATACCCTGTTAAAGCTAGATGAAGAGTCTGATGGAACTTGCTTCTATTCGATCAAAGAAGAAATTAGGGTAAAATAGAACAGGATTGGATTTAGTGGAGAAATACTAACTAGAATAGGAGAAAGTATTATTTAAAGTCTAAACTTTACTCATACAATATTTAATCAACATATTCGTTTATCTATATCATATTTAATCACCTGAAATGTTGATATATTCTAGCTTAGACAACATTCCTAGAAGTATCCAGTATCCAGTCGGATATGCCCCAAAGATTACCTTATGCACTTATAGAGCATATGAAAAATTCCAGACCATTTCTTTTATTTAATAAGAGCAATGCAGGAGAATAAGAAGCAACTGCAACAGCAGCAGTAGAAGCCGCTGCTTAAACCCCGACACTGAGGCCGACTTCTTGGCGGTGGGCAACAAAATGTTTCAGGTCTTTTCTTGCCTCCTTGAGTGCCCCCTCCGCTCCGTCTACCACTCGCGTTGTTGTTGTCTCACTCAGTTTGTGTTGCACGCTGCCCGTTTTGCATTTAATGTGTCATGCAACGCTGCATAGCGGACGCTGCTGCTGCTCCGGCTGCTGCTGTTGCATATGTTGCAGCAGCAGTTGCAACTTCTGTTGCTGCTGTTGTTGTTATGTGGCAAGCGCCAAGTGTTGCAAACAATGCGATGAGCGAGAGCAGAGGAAGCGCCCGAGGGGACACAACAGAAGGGTAGCTGGAAAAACTGCTTATGCATATGGCGAGGAAAATGTGTTGCCAAGAAAAATGTGAGCTTAAATTGCAGCTGATGGAGAGAGCAACAGAGAGAGAGAGAGAGAGAGAGACAGAGA